GCTGTGTGTCATGCACAGAAACTGCCCGTGTCACTTATGGCACATATGCCGCAGGTTGGCCACCTTTGTATTAAAGCATTTAATAGAGTTCATAGATATCATAGCCATTAAAGCTGGGAGGGACCTTGAAGATCAAGTCCAGCACCCTGCCCTAGGGGCAGGAAGTCAGCTAGGGTCAAAGGATCCCAGCAAGATAAGCATCCAAACGTTTCTGGAAACTATTCCAGGCCTTGGGGGCTTGGACAGTAAAGAAGTTTTTCCTTATGTCCAGTTTAAAACAGTCATGAAGGATTTTATGTCCATGTCCTTGTTATCACTTGCGGCGATAACACCTCTGGTGAACAGGCGCCTGTCACCCAGATCCTGATGCACACTCCTTATGTACTTATAGGCAGCCACCAGGTCACCCCTGAGCCTGCGCTTTTCCAGGCTGAAGAGTCCCATGGTTCTCAGCCTCTCATCATAAGGCCTGTTCTCCTGCCCTCTGATCATGTGCATGGCTCTCCTCTGGACTCTCTCAAGCTTCTTGACATCCTTCTTGAATTGTGGAGTCCAGAATTGGATGCAGTACTCCAGCTGCAGCCTTACCAAGGCCGAGTACAGTGGGAGGATGAAATCCTGATGTTTACCTGAGAAGTGTCTATGGATGCAAGCCAGAGTTTTGTTTGCTTTACCAGCTGTGACATCACATTGGTGGCTCATGTTCACCTTGTGGTCATTGAAAGAGACTGTATTCAATCAATTCTTATAGTAGGTGTCAACATTGTTTTAATAAAAAGTTGGTTTTATAATTACTTATTATTATAATTATATATTGCCCATAGGCATCAAACAGCAATTAGGACTCCATTGCACTAGGGGCTGCATGTACAAAAAAAGAAATTGCAATCTATGTTCTTAACATCTCCTAGATTTACTTGTTTTGGTTTTTTGTTTTGATTTTTTTGTTTTGGTTTTCCTAATCCACAGATAGTATTATGGAGTTTTCCAAAGAGAAGTTAGTTTCCTTACATCTTTATATTAAAACTTCTACCTAACTGCATATTAGAAAAACATTTCATTTCATGGATGCAAGTATCTGGGCCGCAGCAGGCAGGTTCTTCCCTCCTAACCAGTCCCCCTTGGTGTTTCCCACCAGCCTGGAAGCAGGCCCAGAGAAAGAAAAAACACCCACCACCACCACTGCTGCTGTCCCCAGCTGAGTCTGGATTGCCAATGCCTTGGCTGGAGTGGGACAGGGGCTGGAGAGGCTATGGAGCTTTGCTTGCTCCCCTGGTCAGCTGCCTGCCTAGTATTTGACATAAATATACTTCTGCAATTTCATTGTGTAATTGGAAGTTATGCAAGGCATTTAGCACATACCCAAGAGACATCCAGTTGGTATGCATTTTGGGCCAGGCAGGGTGGCAATGATGGGTGTTCACAAAGCAAGTCATTCCTATTCATAGAAGGTCATGTTTGGTTCTTGTATAGATTAAAACAGTGGCTAACTAAATAGGCCCAAAAGCTGTTGTTCAGAAAAGGGAGTGACACCTTCATTTCCTTTACACCAAGTAGGAGTGAAAGCTCATCTACATAACATCCTTTCTCCCCAGAAACAAAAGGTATTTGGAAGGTATAAGAGCTTATGCCTCAGAAGAGGGAGGTGTTCAGAAAATTCCCAGGGAAGAGGTACCTTTTCTGATCCCAGCTTCTGAGCCAGTGAAAAAGACTAGATACTCCCAAACTTGGGGAAGCCATCTATGGCTGAGTGAGTCTGTGAGCTGGCAGGACACTAGGTAAGAAAAGCCATCTGCAGAGAAATTTCTGGTTACAAGGAATTACTTTGGAGCTGTTTCTAGATAGAGGAGGAGGGTAAAAACTTGTATTTTTGACCTCTTCTCTCTCTCAAAACATAGTTGCTTTCAGCAGCATGATTTTTCTTTTCAAACCTTTTTTCCTGCTTTACCTGATTGTCCATAGCAAGCAAGATCATAAAGCAATAGATGATTCAGGCCTTCCTCTTCCTCGGAAGTGGAGGGGTGGGGGGAATCTGTTCTCTCTCTCTCTTTTTTGCAAGCCCAGAGTGACAACCCCAAAGAGTGGCAGAGCAACTTCCGCTGGAGCTCTGAAGGTCTGGACTCAGATGAGGGAGCCTAAGGCTGGCTTAGGGTGAAGCGTCACCTCAGGAACAAGATCTAGTCTATCCCCTAGACATGCAGCAGAACAGAGGGGAAAAGCTTGGGCTCTGGGGTCACCCCAATATCTCAACAGCTCAGCATTTGTCACAGCAAGCACCACCTCGGTACTTAAAACTTAAAAAAAAATTAGACCAATTAAGTCTATATTTATATAGCCAAATAAACAACTTAACTTTCTTCAAAGGAGCTGAGAGCCTAGTAGCTGGCATTTTGTAAAGCAGGACACATGGTCAAGTGCATAACAATGGTTAAAACAGATTTAATCTCTTCTTAACCATAAAGTCTACTCAGTAGCAACTGCTCAGGAAGCAACTGAGTGGCCTACTGAGCAGAAAGCCAGAATAAAGGCGGCCGTGTATAAGCAGAAACAAACCTGCTGTTTGAGCTTTCGCAGAAGAAAGTTGCAGGCAGGAGAACTTTGCCTTTTCTTCCCCCAAAACTGTAGAATGAGGATTTTAAAACTGATACAATCAGTAAGCTTCAATTTATCAATTTTCCACCACAAATGGTGCAACCATTTTCTCTCATGCTTCATCTGTCAGATTTGTTGTCAAGCAAGGTGACCAGCAAGTGCAAAGCCAGGGAAAGAAAAAGGCCAAGAGACTCTCTGGTATAGGAGTAGGACAAAGAACATCAAACCAAAGCATCAATAGAGAGGTCTATTGGTTGGATCTCAAGGCTCTTTGGAAACCCCCCTGTTCTATAAATGTCAGATTGTATGAGGACCATTAAGGATTATAGTGAACTGCATGGTAGGTTTTGGGACTTAGATGCAAATACAAAACTCCTGCTTCTTTCTGACCCGAGTCTGAAGCACCAAGATATGAAATACTGGTCCACCCCTTTTAAGCTTATAATTTCTGATCTCTTGTTATGGAGAGTCATCAAAAATGGTAACAAATGACGAGTGGAAGTGGAGAATGAAAGGGAAAGCAGGGAAGGGTGGGGCATGAGAGTTGTGCTGCTTATGCAGAGCTGGGCTGGGTTGAGTCCAAGTCAATTTCTAAGTACTTTGCTGGGGACAGTAGTGAGACACAACTGACAAAGGAACAAGGGATCTCCCCTAGTCTTTCCAAGTTAACATGCAACCAAATAGTTCACAGGGAAATGTTCACTGATTAGTGATTTTACATGGCCATCTGATAGGCAACATTTTTTTTCATTCCATAAAAATGGGAACTGAGGAGAACAATCTCTAAAACTCTGGTCTAGTAGATCTGAGAACTGTAGGCTCAAAGAAATGCATTTCAACTGACGGCTTGGCTTATGATAAGTTTAGAATATTTTTATTCCAAGACCTCTCTATCACCAACATTTCTGACCTTATTAAAATATTTTCAGTTCAGTGGGAATGAAACCCAAAACCTCAGAAGAAGACTTACCTATAGCAATGGACAGCTCGGGACTAAAGAGGTGGAGGGACAGAGATCAGGGAGGAAAGAACGTTCTATCTTTTTTCATAGTGAACAGGTGCCATACAACTTATTCAGACAAATACAACTACCCTTAGGAAAAAATGAAGCATTCTTAGCATATTTGGGCTACTCCTCTGAAGCTAGAAACTACCTATTTCTTGATCCATTTTTCACAGCTTTCTTCTTTAGGGGTCCGTGGAGAATGTATGCAGTGACATTTAAGGCACAGTTCCACAGCTCTTCTACCATATTCAAAACATTTGTAAATAGTGACTTACTACTAATACTTTCTTGAGGCCAAGGTCTGGGATTTGAACGAGGGCCCAAGGAGGAGAGGGGAGACTTAGACAAATTGCTGAGGTAGAGATGGGACTGGAATGAAGGTGCAGGGATAGAGGTTGAAGGGGGCCGGGGGGCACTCTCCAAGATATGAAATAAAACCCAGAATTCCCGAATCTTGGCATGCTGCTGCTGTTAGCAACAAGCTGTGGAAACCAAAGGCAAAGTGTGTGCTTCATCCCTGTAGAGGTCCACATGGAGGATAACAGTGTAATACTGTTCTTCGGAACTTCACTAATAACACAACTCCAATTTGCTCCTGAGCTCTGTCCATCCTGTGCACGAAGTGGGGTGAGATCCTGTGAAAGAACTGTATGAAGCTGAAGACTGTCTTGTAATGCATACACATAAAAGCAGTGGCATTCAGGTGGTAATAGCAATCACAATTCTTGCATTTTGAAGTGCTTGATTTCACAGCCAAAACATTTTTTAAATGAATATCTGTATGTGGTTTCAGTATTAATAGAAATATATTCTGTCAGCGTGGTCTGGATAGTATTTAATATATGCCTTGTGTTGGCTGGTGCTGTGATGAGAGCAAGATGATGATTCTCATGGATCAGTTCAACCCTGGTATAAGCAACTGCAATGGGTCACCGACTTCAACGGGCAATTCAGCTGCTCATCTCAATGACCCAACCGGCTGAGATGATAGTTTGGTTATTATATCCCTTCTGAGACGTCTTAGAAGGTTCCAGGAGAAGTGTAGATACCTGTTCAGTAATACCTTCTACATAACACACAACCAAACCCAAAATTCAATAACTTCAAGTGACTTTCAACAAGGTCTTTTAATATAAAGTGTTTACAGTATGCAGCTTAGCCAACATACCACAGGATGTCAGCACTGGAAATGTTCTCCAACCAGAACGTGAAAACTCCAAGGTTGCCTTCATTGGAAAGAACCTTTCCTCCTCTCTTTGTGTTTACAAATTTCAGCCCCTTAATCCAGGAGTCGGCAATCCACAGCTCACAGGTCCAAACTGACCCACAGAGTAGTTTTATCCAAGCAGGAAAGTCTAGATGCAGCAGCAGGGAAAAGTGGTACTG